GTTGCGCAGCTGCATTGGTAGCTGTGAAATTACATTTGCCTGCAAGTCGAGCTCAAATGTTTTCACGAGCACGAAGTGCGAGCGTTAGATTTTTTATGTTTTCTGCGGCAAAAGCGAGCGAGAGAGGGGAAACTACCGGAACCGGAAATGAGAAGCGAAAGACTTCAAGAAAGTTTGCTGTGAAATGAAAATTATCGTATTTATCAACTGCGGATATGGTGACTCGACCTTGGTCAGGACCCATTAAAAACGTAGCCCATTTTTTTCGGGGTGAATCAGGGAAGAATGGGTGTTATGTGCGGTGTAACAATATTTGGTGGCGAAGACGCAATACTGATGACAGAAATTGAAGCTAAGTCTCCTTTCTATTTTTCAGTGACGTTTCAGCCACAATGACGGATCATTAAACATTGACAAGATGTTGCCGCCTGTACTTAAGCCGTCTGCAACCCCAGCCTCGTTCATGACGGCTTTAGTATATAGCTGATGAAAATTTTATTTCCAATTGTCAAGGCTTGTATATATTTGTTTATATATAGTATTAGAGTAAAGGTGATGTTATACAAAATGATTTTTAACGCCAATTTCTGGGACAATAATGGTGTAAAAAGTCCAAACGAGGTAGCAAAAATGATGCAACGCTTCGCTGCACTGAAACTTGTCGTTACCCCTACTCTCTTTAACGGCAGCGCCCTAACTTGTTCAGAAACAAATTTTATATTCCTTTTAAAATAATAATAACACTAATGTAACTAAAAGTGCTCAAAAAGAAACTTCTCATCTGTGTAGAGTTGCACTTAACTAAGCCTAATTTCACACCATATCGGGTAGCTCTTGCGCAGGCGCGAAAACCATTCCGGATAAGGCTTCTGTTCACACATAAGAACTTTGATTTCCGCGCAATTACTGGAACGGAGCACTGATCCTAAACGTGGAACGTCACATATGAGATAGATTCAGTGCCATACTTTGGTACAGTGTGAACACTGAGGTGTTCGGACTGTCACGGGAGGATCACGGGAGTGAATAAGTGGGACCTAGGACAGGAGTCCACTGAGACGGAAAAAATATTCGAGAGATAAGACTGGGATTTAGTTCACCAAGCCCTCTCGGTCAACAGCTTTGGTACGATATTCGATGTGCGTGAACGAGTTGTTCCAGTTCTGGATCCGCGTTGCTGATCATTCTGTACCGGATGTATCGATAGAGTCGATAGCTTATCCTGTGTAGTGTGAACAGAGGCTAAAAAAGTGGTTTTTGCACAAGATATTAGAGACCTTTAGATTCTAAGACGAGTACGACATGGAGTACTAAGTACTAAGTAGTAAGCGAGCGCAAACCAGCGTCATTTTGGCGGGAAAACGTGGTAGCTGTCGTCACCCTACTACGAGTCTTAGCGAGAATACGAAGTGGTGGAAACAAGTTTTCAAATGTTAGGAGTCATTATCATTTTGCGATCGGGAGAGGGGGTAACCTCCTTCACTAAAGATAACAGTGCTAACTTTTCTATTGAAAAATGGTAAAATGAAGCTTTTCGGGGAGGAGTCTATATTTTGAGAATACGCGAAAAAACTTAAAGTCAAATCTCGTACTCGTAGTCGTCCTCGTCTTTGAATCTAAAGGTCTCTAATAGTTACCTACGTTACCCGCATTGTACAGTGGAACCTCGATTTAACGAACCTCTATATAACGACGTCCTCGGTATGACGAACGATTTTCTTCAACCCGGCCAAAGGTACAATAAAATGTATGGAACAGAACCTCGATTTAACGAAATCCTCGTTATAACGAACACAATAAAGAAACGAAACGTAGAATATAACTTGTCAACATGTGACCGAAAGATTGCTAAAGATGAATGCGAAACAGACCAGTGAGGATAAAATTTATGTTTACAGTAGTTATCAGCCTGTTCTTGTGTTTCTAGTGCCGTAGCTATGATGTACAGCTCTGAACTGAGACAATAGTTTCGCATACAAAATCTTTTATCACAGAAATTGTTCAGATCCTGAAATGCTGGGCGTTGGAAATTAATCATTAACTATACCTCGATATAACGAACATTTTGTTTGTTTTTTTTTTTCAAAAAATTGGTTAAGTCCGGGTTGTCGATATAACGAACCCTCGATATAACGAGGTTATATCACCTTTAGTTAGCACTTCGTTAAACCGAGGTTCCACTGTAGTTTGTACAATACAATTTGATACATTTTTTTAATTCTCCAAATTGGGTTTTCAGAATTGATTTACAGGACTCATTAGGTTAGGTAATGTGCGAAATAACTAAAAATTACATGTATAAAAGACAAACTTAAGTTACAATTGAATTTGAATGCTGAAACTACGATTATGAAAATTAAAAAGCTAATGAACTATTAATTAAAAAAGATCACCAAACTACGGGTAAATGCTCTATTTCCGCATTCTAATATTATCTTCGCGCGTAATAATCCTAAAACTTTATTAGGTTAAGACAAACAAGAGGCAAGCCCATTTTATGCTAATAGCCTACTTTCGAGATATTAAAATTCTACCATGAATCCGAGGCTTTCTGGTCATTTTTCTGTATTTGGTTTGGTTTTCTTTGTAGTCAAATCTCTTCTGGGAATTGCGAGACAACGGAGTCCTGAAAAAATGTAATTTCTGGCGATTGAGAAACATGGGAACGAATTAGTCAGAAAGTAATATTCTGCACGGTATAGAGGCGCGCTGGTGTTCCTGGGATAGTATCGGGTTATTTATGGTTTTGTCGCGAGAGTTGTGCCATTCTACGTCAGCTCAGTCCTTCTGATAGTTTTCGTTTTGTTTTCTTTGAATAACAGATGTATGCATAATTAATGTATGGGGTTATACGGAAATCTTGCCTTGATCCCTTTTCCCCGGGGTTTTACGTACCATTGCATTAGTAGGGGAATACATTTCCGCACATTTTTTGGCCACTTCTCAAGGGTGGCTTTTTAGTGGTTTTTCGTATCTGGCGTGGTACAAGTTCTAGCTTAGAACATATATTAGTATTTTGCTAGAACGATATCATTGCTGATACATCTGCATCTGATGACTGACTGACGCATCCTAAATAAAGGTTTTCACATTCATGAAATCTCGTGTAAGTGGAGTCAGAATTTTGTAATTTTGACCCTAGAGCCTCTGAGTCATGTTAGAATGTTTTTATCGCGGCTAGCAGGGGAGGCAAACGGGGTTGGCCCGGAGGGTGGGGGAGGGGGAGGTAGGTGGGGGAGGAAGGCGTGTGTGGGGCTTTTGGCTTTTGACTAAAAAGGAAGTTCTCACAGTCTATTGCTTAATTGGAGATAATCATACTTTCTGCATACATCCTTCGTTAATCGCAAAGCAAAAGATCAATTCGCTTACAAACATCACGTGATCTGCAATGGGCACTTGTAAACATACATTCTAACAAGTGTCACATGATAAAACCAGTCGTATTCGAATTGTCACTTTATCAATTAAAAATTTCAGGTTCAGAATTAACCTGAAGTTGGCTGTCTAAATGGCCTGCGAGTGGGCAAGATAAAGGGAATCCTGTTTTCGGATTGTTCTTCCCGAGCGGAGCATTTAGGGCCTATTTTGCCACTCGAGACTGCTACGCTTTGTTCCATAGCAAAATAGTTTGCTTTGGCCATATTATGACCAGGTTTGTTCAGTCACGACGGCTAAAATTTTGGGATCCTTGCTCTTCTAATACATTTTTTTGCGCTGTTCCTGTGAAACTCGTCTTTGTCTTGGCAAATATAAAAAAGAAAAAACAAACCTGGCCAATTTCAGCCATTTTGACCTTACGTTTCGTCAATAAGTTAAAGGCAAAAATTGTAATAGCCGGTTAAATCTACTGAGTACAAATGCGCCTTGTTATTTTTGGCAAAGACCTTTGGGACTATTATTGGGACAGGGAAAAAAATATTGTCCAATTGCTGTCCAGCGCGGTAACGATCCCACAAGTAATTGCTAGACACATTTCGGCTCCAGTTACTTTCTCCTTTCTAAAAAATAAGTGTTGAATACAAGAATTAAGGCCACCATCCATAAACGAGTACGTTCTGTATGACCAAGTTGTAGTCTGAAGCCGTAACTATACTTAAAAGGTCATATAGGATGCACTCTTCGTAAGATTAGGTAGCAAATGGTTTCAAATGTATACCATTTCAACGTAAATGATGCGACGCAAATCATCATAATGCCGTAATAGGATTTTTGCATGACTGTGATCACGTGATCAACTTTCGGTAAACACGAAAACAGTTCACTTTGGAAACATTTTGTTAGCACAAGCTGAAGGACCATATTAAAATCAGGAAACCTGACAATTTTCAACCCTATATCTAAAAAGTAGCGATTGCAACGGCCGCCGAAAGTTAGAAGCATTTGTATTAGCCTGCGAGCAAGCTCTCCTATTTGGGCAAGCGAAGCGAGCCTCGCGAGAACGCGCGAGCTCTGCCCCTCGCGGCTTCGCCGCTCACTCGCGCGTTCTCGGGAGACTCGTTTCACTCGCCCAAATAAGAGAGCTTGCTCGCAGGCTACATTTGTATGAGAAAAACAACTTTTGCCACCCAGTCACGCTTGCATGATTTTCCATACAAATCCTTGTATGTTCTACTCCTTTTAAACTGTCGTTAAATCTTTCCCTTACGCATTTAAGGGCATAAATTGCCTGTTATGAATTAAAAGGAGATTTGAGCCTTAAAATGCTTAAGGAAATATTTCATGACAGTTTTGAAGATTTCGAAATTACAAGGAGTTGTATGGAAAACCATGCAAGGGTGACGGGGGGGCAAAAGTTGTTTTTCTCATACAAATGCCTCCAAGTTTCGGCGGCCGTTGCAATCACTACTTTTGAGATATAAGGCTGAAAATTCTCAGGTTACCTAATTTTAGTATGCTCTTTCAGCTTGTGCTAACAAAATTTTTCAAAAGTGACCTATTTTCGTGTTTACCGAAAGTTGATCACGTGATCAAGTCATGCAAAGAGCCTATACCATTGCCTTTTATGGTTTAGGTTTTAATTTCATCTCAGTGCGTTTCAACGAATAATAATGTCCTCTAAACGTGACCCATCTTACTCCGTCGTTAGGGTGCCTGGTGTTATAAGATCCCCAACGATACAAACCATTTAGATTGACCAAAGTGCAGGAATGGTACCACCATGCTCCTTTCAATGAAACAGCGCAATTGCCAGAGGTCCGATCATTGTCGACATCTTTGGTTGAAAACTGTAAGTTACTGCAGGAAAACGTCACAGTTTGATAATGGCACAAATTTTACAAAGAGATTTGTTTGTCAGGAGGTTATTTATTTACCGAGTTAGGATTTCGAGATGGATTTCGAGGTGGATTTCAAGGTGGATTTGGAGTTGGAATTTTCGAGTCACCCCATGTAAGGGACGGTCTTGGATTCTGGATCCCACGCTGTGGATTTCCAGATTCCAGTACTGGATTCCTCATTTTTTAAAAAATTGGAACTTGGATTTCGGATTCCAATTGTTGGTGAGATTCCGAATTCATTGAGGTAGATTCCGGATTCCAAAGACCAGGATTCCGTATTCCACAAGCGAATTTGCTCCGGATTCCGGATTGTTGAAGCAAAACTTTCCATCCTTACATTCGCGCAATACGCATCATGCTTCCGAAGTGAAGGCTTTGTGCATTACAGCTCACTGCTGCACCCTTCAGTTCAGATACAGATGCTACTTATGTGGCTGTGGTCGCTTAAGAGTATACGAGACTTAACCAACTAATAGATGATTTGAATAAGAGGGAGAAGGTATCTAAGGTGTTCGGCGCTGGCGATTACTTATCGTAAGGGTAAAAAGAATCGTAACAGCAGTCAGGAGTGAGCAACTTCCATGCGCTCGTGTCACGGCGTTTTCACGGACCAGTTAATTTTTAGAACGGTTTTAGCGCCCAATTTTGAATATCTTTTAAATTCCACAAACCGGTCAGCAAAACCTACAGACCTAACGAATGCTCTCATAGACATGGTCGAGATTCTATTTTCGCGGGAAAAAGTGCCCTAAAATGTGTCTAAAAATAAACTGGTCCGTAAAAACGCCGTGACATAGGCCTCGCATGGGAGTTGCTCACTCCGGGTTATGGGCTCTTGCAGCAGTGTAAGATGGGCTTAAAAGGAAATTATATTACTGAAAGATTGTTGATTTGATACCGTAAAACGGCCGCTTATCCCTGGGCTTATACATCTTCGTCAGGGTTTTAGAAGGGCGTATAAACGGAGGGACTTATATCCGAGCTGTTTTATACCCGAAATAGAAACAGCGCCTTGAAACAAGATATGGTAGTCCTAATAGGTCTTGCAATTACTGTTTTTTTTAATTAACCTTTAAAATGTCATAATAATTCAAAAGAATTCAAAAGATTCGTGAGGGGCTTATATCCGGAGGCTTGTAATCGGATGTATTCTTTGGTTTACGGGTCTATAGATGGGTTTATAACTGGAGGTGGCTTGTAAGTGGGGGAGCCGGTTATAAGCACGGTATTGGCCTTTTTTTTTCTGTTGCTACAAATTAATTACCAGCGAAATACTTGCTTACCTTAGGGTCTGCCCTCCGTTATCTACCATCGAGTCACCAGCAGTACCATTGTACCCTCCAATCGTAATCCTGTATTTATCTGCTTCGTCAGCTACCTGAAATGTTGTATACTCAGCGTATGTTATGCTGCCATCAAAGTCCTCCAGGTCAACTCTTAGCATGACGTCACCAGAGGCTGTCAAACGATGTAGATTGTCGTTTCCAAGCCAGAACTCACTGTTTAGATCTCCAAATCCATTTTTGTATGATTCCCAAGCCCGATAAAAATCTACCGAGCCATCTAAACGTCTCTGAAAGACGGTCCAACCTCCACCGTTTGTAGTCATGTCGCACAGTACGTGTATTGGGCTGCCACCATCTGGGTTGATGTAGTAGATTCCACTTGGTGCCAAACCACTTTGACCAAGTTTAGAGCAGTCTTTTATGATTAATTCTGGAATGTAAAAGAGGTAAAAGAGTTTGGGTGTGAACTTTTTTAAGGAAATCGCTGACAAATATAATTATTTTGAAACTATTTTACAACTCTTAATTCAAATGAGTTAAAATTAGAGTCGTTTAAACGTCTCTGAAAGACAGTCCAACCTCCACCGTCCGTAGTCATGTCACACAGCACTTGTATTGGACTGCCACCATCTGGGATGATGTAGTAGACTCCACTTGATGTGAAACCACTTTGACCAAGTTTAGAGCAGTCTTTTATTAATTCTGAAATGGGTAATTAACTGATAAATGATCTTAAGTGTAACTTTTGACTGACTATCCATAGAGTCATTTAGTTTAAAGCCTCTTCCCATCCCAGGGGGGATAGGAGAAGATCCTTAGAAGTGCAACTTGGGTGTTTATGAAACGATTGCAGCTTACCGCATGGTCTTCCTCCGTAACCTTTGTCACATTTGCATGTAAAGCTGTCCTTGGAATAGTCGGGGATGCAGATTCCTTTGTCACCGCAAGGATCTACGCTGCTGGCTTCGCAGACGCTCTGTTCTCAACATAAACAAGCACAGCAACAACATCAATTTAGGGTTTCATGAATAAAGAGGCACGCGAACATGTTGTGCTCACGCGCCTAATGATTCTCCATTTCCCTTCAAATACCAATCTCGTACCTCGAGTCTTCGTCCCTTACTGCGCTGCGATAAATTTTAGGAAAAGTCGCCATTTTCGGTGAGCTTGAACGGTTTCGAAGTTCTACAACTTTTTAGCGAGGTGGGGGGGGGGGGGGGGGACGGGGGTCTTAAAAGCCTCCCTGGTCTGAGTAGGGTTCTGTTGTTTTGTGAATAAGGTTATTTCCACACAAGTTCGAGAATTTCACTTTTTATACAGATTTATTGCTCCTTTAAAAAACACCACGAATTATTTTCTAATATAAACAAAACCGAAGAAAACCTAAAAGCAAATACTAAGTTTTCTAGTTCTAAACTGAACGAACGTATTTCCAGACCGATAATTTTCTCAAGTGATTTTTTCCTAACTTAAACGTTAACTCTTTATGATAGAGAAAATGCTTAATCAGTTTCCGATGTTTCTAAGTTCTTAACCTTAAGCAATGAAAGGCGTCTAATTTAATTAAGAATCGGAATTGAAAACTAAAAACAACAATCCGAGTCAGGGAGAGGTAACAGCAAAGATTACAAAGCCGGGTGGATATATAAAGCTTATCAAACCACACATTTTTTACTGAACGAGGTTTAAAAAATTTCTCGAATAATATGGAAACAGGAAAATCATGTTTTAATTCTTGAAACACTTTCAAACAGAGGGAAAGCTGGATAAAGTTTCTTTAACATCAACAACATAATTATCTTGCATTATTAACAATGACCGACATAAGCCCATTTCAGTTGATCTTAAAAGAGTAGCTCTCCAAATTGTAAACAAATCGCAGTCACCCTAACTATGTACTTCATGAACGAGTAGATACAGTTCCTTTATGACGTAGTTACGTTGTAAAGCATTTAGGCAACATTTTTCAAGCGTAAATCAGTGTTTTAACAATTGGAAATTTAAATAAATTTGAAGTCTCAAGATATTCCTGACAGCATGCAAGATTTTTTTTCCGTTTTCTTCGTTTTTTTTTTTGAATAGTTGATCCTAAACTACACTAGAACCGCAGGTAAATTTGAAAACAAGAGAAAAGCTATCCATGAGGAGTATTTTTTGGACTTGACCAACAATTCTGAGTTAAGCAGTTATTACCTGTATCCCTTTGTACTTGAAATCACCGTCTTCTGTAAAATTACTGAATCCAGCAAATCTATCAGATTCACTCAACTGGCACAAGAAATTGCCTGGTTTGTTGTTTGTGATTCTAAAGTTGTAAGAGCGGCATCTCTCTTCATTGACGCAATGAAGCCTACACGCGCCTTCTGATTCCACATCTATCTCTTTTATCACGTTTCCCTTTAACTTTAGTCCTTAAACAAATTTTGACTTTTAAGGGATGGGCATTTTTAAATTTTAATTTTAGATCGAAAATGCTCAAAACAATGAAAAACTGTTCCTTCAAGCCTTGACCAGAACATTGCTGTCCCCTTCAAAACTAGTTGGCTGCCCAGAGAATGACAAGGCGCCATTCTTCCCATTATTCTTGCATGGATTTTTGAAACAGTAAGGAATCCGATATTGTAAATTGCTTTTAACTTTTCCTTTAGTGAACAACATCATTTTGAAAGTAGGAACAAATGTTCTCGACGCATTGTTTTCAAATTTTAGTCTCGTGCTGGGCTGTCTAAGGCACCTTTAGATACGCAGGTATAATTGAAATTACTCGTAAAAGATACTTATGCTAGATTAAGATTGGTCAGTGGGTGTCCAAAATGTGATAAAATTCATCGGTTTGCATTGATTCACAGTTCGATTTTCTGGGAATGTTTGACGCGTTAACATAGAGCGCTTGGTTATTTAAATGGATAATGATTTGTTTAATAGTTAATGTGGCTCTGCCCTCCAGTTTCGGCTTAAGAATTACCATGACTGTGTTTCCATAATCTTACTTATTTTCCTTTGGGAGTTCTGCTTTTAGGTCTCTTTAATTGATGTCATTTAATGTTTTGTTAACAGTCTGGAGACGAAGGCCTTCAGGGGATGTATACCCCTAGGCAGGTGGTTCTACGAATAACTTAATTGTTTCACTTAATTCCAGCTTGTATCGCCTTCTCATGCTAATTTGTCTAAAAAAACGTGCTCTTGGATGCAATGCTTAATATTATGACAACTAACGGTTACTACATGTATGTTGATTAAAAAAAACGGTATTTGCTTTTATTTTGGCTTTGATCTTGGAAACATCTTTAGGTGATCAAGGCATTTAAAGGATGGTTATTTCTTCATTGTGAAGAGAAAAAAAGCTTCAATTCGAGTGGTGAACGCCCTGTTCCAAAATGTTTTGACTGAAATTCAGGTCTCAATGTGAAAACAACGCTCTTCAGTTTGGACGAACAATCTTTCTTCCATCTCTCTGGATTAGCCGGATTATACTATATTATCTTTAGCGTAAAATCCAAAAATTTAAAGAAAACTCCCTAAATCAAAAAGCGGAATCTTTGCCATCTTAATCACACTATTGATACTAAAAAGACAAAGAAAGTATTCCATTCGAGCAGTTTTGTTTTTCCGCAAAGAGCTTCCACTGCATGCACTCGCTGAAACAAGGACAGAAAATTTAACTTCGAGTGCTATAACGATCCTCGTTATAACGATGTTCACGGTATAACTATGGTTATTCTATGTCCTTGCAAAAGTCACAGTAAAATATATCGGACAGAACCCCGATATAACAATCTTCGATATAATACATGTAATGGCCTTTCTTTCTTTGGCGCGATATATTGTAATTGTTGTTGACATAGGAGTCATATAAATTTTCCGGGTTGAGAGAAACTAACATGGTTGATTAAAAAAAAAAATCATCAAAAATAGGGATTTTTACCTGTATTCCCCTGTAGGTAAAATTGTCATGTTCTGTGAAATTACCAAAGCCAGAAAATCTGTCAGAATTACTCAGCTCACACGCGAAAGTCCCTGATTCGTTCTTTGTGTTCTTAAAGTTGTAAGAAAGACAACGTTCATCCCTGACGCATTGAAGACTACACTCATCTTCTGACCTCACATCAACTTGCTTTATCACGCTTCCGTTCAATTTTCGTCTTTCTTTTGCTTGGGCAAAGTTAACAGCTTGAAAACCGGGCGCTGAAATACGGCTTGTGCAGTATACAGTGGTCACAGAAAAAACGATTGGCAGTAGCAGAAGCATTTTTGATTGGCCGGCTTCAAAGCATTTCGGATGTTAAAAAACTGTCAAAGGGCCGGTTTCTGGATAGTTCACTTTAAGTTGTAGCACCTTAGACTAAAGTATTTATGATCCAGGTGTAATTTGGATTAACGTCCACCCAATCAACGCTGACAGTCACCCGCCGATTCGCAGTTAATAGTGTTTGGAGCCAAAAATTACCGTTAACTTCCGTGTGCCCTGGGCTAAAACAACGTCGTAAGGGTTTTAGGATGTTTTATAAAGGAGGGAGTTGGTGATAAGGCTTATATATATCCGAGGAGGCTTTTAACCGGATTAACAAAAGCTTTCAGAAGAAGCTAAATAGCAGTGCTGATCAGAAATACTTTTCGAATGTACTCGCTTTTTTAAAGCTTCAAAACGTCATAAAAAGTCGATTGCATTTCAATACTGCTACTCTAGAAAGTGGCTGATATCTGGAAGAGGGGGGAGGGGCGCCTATAAGGTGATGTGTTTTTTTGGTGTACAAGTAGATGGGCTTATAACTGAGAGGGCCTATAAGCGAGAGGAGAAGGAAAAACTTCTAAGCGGAAGTTAGCGGTATCACCGAATACATGTAATTTTAATCATGACTTTTGACAAGTTAGGCATCTCGAGCAAAGTCGTTTCCTAGTCAAATTTCTAGCCGGAAGAGGTCGAAACACAGGCTTGCCGTTTTTTAATAAAAATAGCCCTTGATTTGTAAGTTAGAGGCCGGAATTACTATGCACTCCAAGTTATTAGCTCCGGCTCATAAAAGGTTAAGTGTGTATCGGTGGCTGTTACTGTTACCAGAGCAACAGTTAAAGGTCAAGATCTTCCAAAAATTAACTCAGAAGCCACCCACCTTGTTTTAGTCTACAAGCAATGAAAATTGCTTGGCTTTCTAAATCCTACAATTATGGATCGAGAGGTTAAAGGTTCTTTTCGCTGCCAAAACGTTGTTGATGACTAGACTAGTCAGACACTTGAAAGGAATCATAATATTATATATGTTTGTTAGCGCGTTAACTTTGCCTGACCTTAGTGTTCAAGCGCAGATAACCGCACACTGTTTAGTTGTAGCAGAAAATTAAAGACGCCCAGCAGGTGATCTGAAGGCTCAAGCTGTGAGACACCTAATCTGTAGCCCGCGAAACTGGCGCTATTGACTCGAAATCACGTCCGCTTCGAGCGTGCCTAAAAAAACGCTAAAAAGTAAGGCCCCTAATCTGTAGACTATAATTTGCAAAATGCGGTTGCCTTATTGTGACGGCAGAGGTATTTCTGTCGCCTCTTCTATCTGATTCCGATAAGAAAGCAGATCAAATGATAAATTACATGCATTTAATAATGTATTTCACTTTCCAGGAGCCTATTTCCGTGACTTCTCCCAACATATACTGCATGCCTGCTCTTGAACAATCTACCACCTCATATTTGGAAGGCCTTTGATTGCAAAAATTTCCTTACCAACCTGAAAGAACGTAACCTGCTGGACCAAGACGAGTGTCCCTGTAGTCTCTGCTCTAGTTAGTTTTCCTAGTTGTTGAATAATTAGACTAGGAGTAATCGGAGCTTAGAAGAGTGCGTTCGAAATGTTTGTAAGGCGTAGAGGTAGAAGTTGAGGAGGAAGGTTGGATGGTTATTGCGATAGATTAAGCCCGGTTTCCATATGATCGCTACGATCGCTGAGAAAAAAAAGTTCAGCAATCATATGGAAACCACTCTCCAGCGATCGCAGCGACAACGATCGCTGGATAGAACTTTTTATATCTCAGCGATTGTTGTCGCTGCGATCGCTGGAGAGTGGTTTCATATGATCGCTATAATCGCTGAAGTTTTTTTTTTCTCAGCGATCCAGCGATCACAGCGATGGTAGAGATCATATGGAGACCGGGCTTTTAATTTGATCATGGCATATTTTAAACGTAAGGATTGCTTACAGCGAAACCTCTATTTAAACTGCGTATCATTATGAAAAAGCCTTGAAGGCTAGTGATATCGAATGGTCCGTCTCAACAAGTGCAGTTGTTTGGTCGAGTGTGTTGATTTCAGTGACTTGAAATGAGCTACTGTGGGCTGTTTCCGAATAAATAACATAAACTTAAAATGTTCGTTTGTCCGGTGCCGAAAATATCACAAGTCATGATGAAACGGCGCCGCCGCGCTTCACACTTCGGTAGAAATACTTTGTGGGACAACGGCCTGCGAGCTAGACAACTCTGTAGATTTACTTTGTGGCACAACGGCCTCCGGCTACACAACTCAGTAGATTTACTTTGTGTCACAGCAAACTCTTGAAATATGTACGCTTTACGAAGATTCAAACCATTTAGATTGGCCCAACTGCAGGAATGGTACCACCATGCTACACTCTTTGAAACAGCGCAATTGTCAGGGTCATACAGATCTTTGTCGACATCTTTGGCTGAAAACTGCAAGTTACTGCAGGAAAAGGTCAGAGTTTGATAATGGCACAAATTTTACAAAGAGATTTGTTTGTCAGGAGGTTATCTATTTACCAAGTTAGGATTTCGAGATGGATTTCGAGGTGGATTTCAAGGTGGATTTGGAGTTCAAATTTTCGAGTCACCCCATGAAAGGGAACCTAAGACGATCTTGGATTCTGGATTCCACGCTGTGGATTTCCAGATTCCAGTAGTGGATTCCTCATTTTTCTAAAAAACTGGAACTTGGATTTCGGATTGCAATTGTTGGTGGGATTCAGGATTCATTGAGCTAGATTCCGGATTCCAAAGACCAGGATTCCGTATTCCACAAGCGAATTTGTTCTGGATTCCGGATTCTTCAAACAAAACTTTCCATTCTTACATTCGAGTAATACGCATCATGCTTCCGAAGTAAAGGCTTTGTGCATTACAGCTCACTGCTACACCTGCAGTTCAGATACAGATGCTACTTATGTGGCTGTGGTCGCTTATGTGTTCGAGTCGTTTTAGAGATATACAAAAAAGTACTAAAAGTCCAAATCTTGAATGAAGTTGCACTTAGACAGGTGTTGAGAAAAGGGTTAGTTTTTAAGTGATCGCAAGAACGAAAATACACCAAAATTTCCGAGCATAGAAATATGATATTAAGCAGCATTTTGACGCTACTTAAGAATTTAATTTAATTTGTGTCATTTATAACGTTTTATTAAATAATTTATCACGGCTATTGACAATTTAAGGTCTGAACTATATTTTCGTTTTAATCGAATTCAAACATTCAGAATTTTTTACTTCTCACGGAGGTTATTTGCTAATTACGAAACTTTAAGTTCCTAGTGTTGGATTTTCAGTAGCTGGTCTAGATCGCTCAAAACTCGGCTTTATCAATTTCAAAGTTTTTTGTTTATTGTTGTCATAGTAACATCGATTTTACTTAAACCTACATTTTGCCAAATTTCAATCTATAGTTAATCATTGGTGCAACTTTTATAGCTATCAGACAAGGATAAAATCGCTTTTAAAGCGATTGAAAAATATCGGTATGGCTTTTGAAAAACTATATCGAAACACCTTAACTAGGTATTTCTCTTTTGATGGTTAATTACCTCCATTCCTCTGTACTTGAAATTGTCATCTTTTGTGAAGTTACCAAAACCAACAAATCTATCGCAACTATTTAACTGACACAGGAAATTCCCAGCTTTATGCTTCTTGAGTCCGAAGTTGTAAGAGCGGCATTGCTCGTCAATGACACATTGACGCCTACACGCACCCTCTGAATCAATTTGCATTTCTTTTATCACGCTTCCATTCAACTTTCGTCCTTCTTTCGCCTTAGCAAAGTTAACAGCTTGAAAACCAGGTCCTGAAATAAGGCTTAGGCCCGATGCAGTTTCGGCAAAGACGAGTACAAGGCACAGTAACATTTTTTCACGGATCACTTTAACGGTATAACAGGTGTTTTAATATATAACTATTAAGTTTTCCTTTAAAGATGATCAGTTACACTGGTTCCCAGTATCTTTTCGTTGTGTTGTTTCCCTCTGGAGCCTGGTTTCTGGTTGCTACAAGAACGATATCGTCCTCTTATCTAAAGATCAATTAAATTTGACCGGCTTGTTTCTTCAGAGTCACCTAAATCTGGTAATCTACGTACCAGCTAGCCTGCGTCACAGACAAAACTTAACTCTGGTTAAGTCGGTCTACAAAACAGCGCCTAAATCCTTCTACTGGACCCCATCTGTGTACCACGATTTGAATACTCATGACTCGCAATGATTGGCCTGTGAAAAAAGACGTCGTTAATTTGCCAATCAGTAGAAAAGGAAATCCCAAACGCACCTCCGGTAATTCGTTGAGTCCGTTGGGGGCCTACAACGAGAATATATCTCGGCGATGCTTCGCAGACGTCACTAAACAATGTTAAAGTACGTCTTCGACGCAGGCTACTTACCGGCTTAATCCAAACTTTCAGTGAACATAAGTAAGTTATTTTAAGACCCCTCTTATATACAGATAAGTGATCTCGCCCCTAAGTTTTGAAAAAGCAAGGAATGTTCATCTTCGCGCGTAATAATCCTAAAACTTTATTAGGTTAACACAAATAAGAGGTAACCCATTTTGTGCCAATGGCACACGTTCGATATATTAAAATTCTACCATGACTCCGAGGCTTTCTGGTGATTTTTCATTTTGGTTTGGTTTTCTTCGTGCTCAAGTTTTTTCTGGAAGTTGCGAGACAACTGAGTCGTGAAAAATTTGCAATTTCCACCCTAAAGCCTTGGAGTCATGTTACTTAGAATTTGTATTAATACGTTGAACGTGGGCTATAGTGGCTGGCAAGGGAGGCAAACGGGGATTGGGCAGAGGGGGGGGGGGGGAAGGGGGGGAAGGGGTGGTGGGGGGTTAGGTATTTAGCCAGTTCTGCCAAGCCTACACTGACTAAAAAGGGAGTTCTCACAGTCTTTTAGAAATTGAAGATAATCACTTGCATACATCCTTTATTTATTGCAAGGCAAAAGATCAATTCGCTTACAAACATCACTTGATCTGCAATGGGCACTTGTAAACATACATTCTAACAGGTGTCACATGATGAAACCAATCGTATTCGAATTGTCACTTTATCAATTAAAAATGTCAGGTTCAGAATTAACTGTAAGTGGGCTGTCAGAATGGCCTGCCAGTGGGCAAGAAAAAGGGAATTAATCCTGTTTTCGGATTGTCTGGATTGTCTACTCGAGCGAGCATTTAGGGCCTATTTTGCCACTCGAGACTGCTCCGCTTTGGTCCTTAGCAAAATAGTTTGCTTTGGCCATATTATGACCAGGTTTGTTCAGTTACGACGGCTAAAAGTTTGGGATCCTTCCTCTTCTACTACATTTTTTTGCGCTGTTCCTGTGAAACTCGTCTTTGTCTTGGCAAATATAAAAAGGAAAAACCAACCTGGCCAATTTCAGCCATCTTGACCTTACGTTTCGTCAATAGGTTAAACGCATAAATTGTAAGAGCCGGTTTTAATCCACTGAGTACAAATGCGTCGAGTTATTTTTGGAAAGACTTGTGGGACTGTCACTGCATGGGGACAGGAAAAAAATGTTGTCCAATTGCTGTCCAGCGCGATAACGATCCCACAAAAAATTCCCGGACACATTTCGGCTCCAGTTACTTTCTCGTTTCCAAGTGTCAAATACAAGATGAACTGCCAGAATTAAGGCCCTCCAACCAATGACGACACTCAATAACTGAGTTCGTTCTGATTGACCGGGTTGTAGTTTCAAGCCGTAACTATACTTAAAAAGTCATACTTGCTCGCACTCAATCTTAAACTGGAAATTTCATAAGATTAGGTAGCAAGTGGTGTCAAATGTCTACCAACTTAAATGATGCGACGCAAATCATAGGTCATCATAATGCGGTAATACCATTTCTGTTTATGGTTTAGGCTTTAATTTCATCTCAGTGCGTTTCAAAGAATAATACTGTCCTCTAAACGTGACCCATTTTACTCCATGGGGCAAGTAGCTGGTGTTGTAAGATCCTCGACGATACAAACCATTTAGATTGGCCCAACTGCAGGAATGGTACCACCATGCTCCACTGAGTAAAACAGCGCAATTGCCAGGGTGCAGATCATTGTCGACATCTTTGGTTGAAAACTTTAAGTTACTGCAGAAAAAAGTCACAGTTTGATAATGGCACAAATTAAACAAAGAGATTTATTTGTCAGGAGATTATCTATTTACCGAGTAAGGATTTGAAGAAAGGATTTCGAGGTGGATTTCAAATTTACGAGTCGCCCCATGCAAGACTCCATGCATGTAAGGGAATGCACGACGGTCTTGGAGTCTGGATTACACGCTGTGGATTTCCAGATTCCAGTACTGGATTCCTCATCTTTTTTTTAATTGGAACTTGGATTTCGGGTTCCAATTGTTTGTGGGATTCCGGATTCCTTGAGCTGGATTCCGGATTCTAAAACCCAGAATTCCATTCCGCAAGCAAAACTTCCCAGCCCAACATGGTGTGATTCGAGTAATACGCATCATGCTTCCGAAGTAAAGGCTTTGTGCATTTCAGCTCACTGCTACACCTGCAGTCAAGATACAGATGCCACTTATGTGGCTGTGGTCGATTACGAGTCTACTTGACTCTACAAATTAATAAAATGGTTTGAATATCAGAGAGAAGGTATCTATCTATGAGGTGGTCAGCGTTGTCGATCACTTATTGTAAGGGTAAAAAGACTTGTAACAGCAGTGTAAGGTGGGCTTTAAAGAAAGTATATGAAGGACTGCTGATTTGATAGTACGTCCTTTAACTGCCGCTTATTCCTGGGCCTAAACATCTTCGTAGGGAATTTAGAAGGGCTTATAAACGGAGTGGCTATATCCGAGGTGTTTTATTACCGAAATAGAAAGAGCGCTTTGAAACATGCCAAGATATAGCAGTCCTAATACTTTTGGCATTTACTGGTTTTTAATTAAGCTTTAAAATGTCATTGATAATAAATCGAATTCAATAGATTTGTAAGGCGCTTAGGCCCGTTTCAAACGTCGTGCTTCTGCCGTGCCGAACTAAATTGATCGAATTAAAATCGACTTAAGCACAGAAGTAGTGCGGCGCTTGAAACCAAGTCGTGCTACTGCCGTGTAGCATGGCAAGCGTTGCCGTGCTACACGGCAGTAGCTCCACTTGGTTTCAAAGGTCGCGCTACTGCCGTGCCGAACTCAATTCATAAATTATGAATACAATAGAATACATTTCAAAGTTTGCTAAACCGTTTCTTTATTTTTGTGTTTTGTTTTAGGCAACAGCCGTTCTATTCGATTAAATTAAATTCGACGTCTGAAGCCAAGTCGAGCTAGTCGTGCTGCAGTCGAGCTACAGTCGAGTCAGCTTAGCACGGCAGTAGCACGACGTTTGAAACAGGCCTTATAATTATGTCTGGAGGCTTGTAATCGGATGTATTTTTTGTCGTCTATAGATTGGTTTATAACTGGAGATGGCTCATAATAAAGTGGGGGAGCTTATAGGCACGGTATCGACCTTTTCTTTTTCTGTTGCTGCAAATTAATTGACCACTCCATAAAATACCACAACATACTATCATGATCTTTGTTTGTCACCCCAAAATTTTGCATAAGCATTGTCTTCAGTTTCTATTGGGAGTTAAAATGGCCCCAAGAGAAACTGAAAACAATGCTTATGCAAAATTTTGGGGTGACAAACAAAGAGCATTGTGGTGTGTTGTGGTATTTTCTGGAGTGGTCAATTACCAGCTAAATATTTGCTTGCCTTTGGGTCTGCCCTCCGTTATCTACCATCGAGTCACCAGCCGTACCATTGTATCCTCCAATGGTAATCCTGTATTTATCTGCTTCGTCAGCTACCTGAAATGTTGTATACTCAGCGTGTGTTATGTTGCCGTCAAAGTCCTCCATGTCAACTCTTAGCATGACGTCACTAGAGGCTGTCAAACGATGAAGATTGTCGTTTCCTAGCCAGAACTCACCTTTTAGATCTCCAAACCCATTTTTGTATGATTCCCAACCCTGAAAAAAGTCAACCGAATCGTTTAAACGTCTCTGAAAGACAGTCCAACCTCCACTGTTTGTAGTCATGTCACACAGCACTTGTATTGGGCTGCCACCATCTGGGATGATGTAGTAGATTCCAGTAGATGCCAAACCACTTTGACCAAGTTTAGAGCAGTCTTCTATGATTAATTCTGGAATGTAAAAGAGGCAAAAGAGTTTGGGTGTGGACTTTTTTTCCAGATAACCTTTGACAAATTTCATTATTTGGAAACTGTTTTATAACTCTTAATTCAAATGAGATGAAATAAGAGTCGTAAACTGTATGATATATGCGCACCAAGCTGACACATCGTCAAACAGTTTCTACGCCCCTTTCCAAAAATCATTGTATATTCGGACTTTTCAAACTTTCGCAGCCTTTGCGTTAAAGCCGAAAAAGTGATGACACAAAATTTGTGATAACCGAGCCGCCTTAGGCCCTCTAGTACTGTCTCGATTTCTTTCATCACCCCCTCGGTTTACAGTCAACTCTCTGTTAACGGACAACTTTATTGGACGGAAATCTCTCTAAGACGGATAACGGACACTTTTGAAATCGTCAACGGACAATTGGGAAGTGCTTTATGTAGTAAAAAATACCTTAAAACGGAATTTTGGTGCTCTACATGACAGTAAATTGAAAAATGTTTGATATTTATTAGTCTTGCTCCAGTTAGCAGAGTGTATAGTGTTAGGCTTTAAGACCACGAAGCCTTGAGAGTTTTCCTCAACCTTATTCAATAATTGCTAAATATTCTTTGGACTACGAGAAGGCGTTTATCTCCCTGGCTTTGGACTGAATTAAAATAAGAACGAGTAAATGACTTCTTTTGGGAAGAATTAGATGCTAACAGCTAAATAAACGACTTCAAGTGCCATTTAATGCAAAATAATTAGAATCTTACCTCTTCAAACCCCCAAGATGGAAGAGACCTAGGGGATGGGACGTTTGTAACTTACCGCACCGTGTTCCTGCGTAGCCTTTGTCACATTTACATGTAAAGCTGTCTTTGGAGTAGTCTGGGATGCAGATTCCTTTGTCGCCGCAAAGGTCCACGTTGCTAGACTCGCAGACACTCTGTTTTAAAAGCAAGGAAAATAACTAAAGCCCCGTGCTAACGGACACAATATTGTTGGCCAACAACTCCCAACATTGCTGGATGTTACATGTTGCGTCCGTTTGCACACCCTGTTGCATGTTGTTGCGTGATGTTCGGAGTTGTTGCGCAAAGTTTGAAACCGGTCAAAATGTTGAGCCAACAACACCCAACATTTATTTTGTTCCGTCATCGCCGAAGCGTAGCGCAACAATTTTGGATCCCGTTTGCAAAGCTCTTCCATGTAGGTCCCAGCATTGTTGAGAGTCACTGAGTCCGTTTACACACCAACACGGACGCATCAACTCCCAAGTTTGTTGGCCAACATTGTCTCCGTTTTCAAGTAGCCTTAGGGTTCTATTAAATTAATTTCCTGCGAACGCAGCCGTCTCTTCTCGGCCCTCGTCGCTAGGGACGTTTCCCCGGCGAAACGTCTGCGATTCGGCCCCCAAAAGTCAGAACTGATATCAATATTTACATCATTATGCTGGTGGTCGTGGGGTTCCAGGTGGTGATTTGTTCGAGTATATGTCGTTTCCTACGAATGAGCGACGGCAAATTAAAGTCATTTGCTTCTTGTACGAGTTGAGTGAACCTCTGCACGAATAGTATACAACTATCCCCCGAAGGGGAGGTGAATAAACCGAGACGCGAAGAGTCGAGGTGTATATCTAGCGCTGTTCACCGACCCTGAGGGGGAAAGTTGTTTTAGTATTTACCAAAGCAGTTGGATAAAAAAAGGAAAAAAAGCAACTTTTTATAAATTAAAATCGTCACTTAGTAGGAAGTTTGTTTACAATTTACAAACCTTTCGGGGATTTTTTCAAATGCATTTTTATGATTTTGTTGCAAATATAATTCAGCATGAAAATAATTTTCTACCTACCAGGAAACACCGACAAGCCAAAGTTCGTCGCTCTCTTGGTATTTGTTTGTACGACTGCTTCTTTTATCGCTCAAATTTATCTTGGCTCCGGTCGCAAAACAGTGAATAGCCAAGGATATTCCGAGTTACGGGAGCCAATCAAACTCGCGAAAATTGCAATTCACCTATTCGGTAAATACTAATACAGCATATTTCACGCCAACCGAGAAGCCCAAGGGATCGAGGTTCCGTTAGCTTAGTAGTTTTGGCTGGAGCTGGGGAAAATGGTGGAAATTTTACACAAGAAAAAACCGAACTTTTGCCTAAAAACACAGTAAGACATGAGCAAGAATACAAGTTAACGGAAAATAGTTTTGTCATTCGATCAACAAGTTTGTTTTTTAATGAATATCTTCGGAGAAGCGAAACGATCTGCCATTTTCACGCAAGAGCGATCGCAAGGAGGAGAAAAACGTGGTTTCATTTTCGCATGAGTGGAATGATATCTGGACGAATAATAGTTGGACGACATTGTGCATGAGCAGACCATTATTTGTAGGCAGTTATTTGCAGGTCACGTGGTGGGCTCTCGGCTAATGAAAAGGAAGAAAAATTTCCATCGAATGTCTTGATAACATTTGTTAGTTGATCCCAATATATCTGCTAGACTAAACATCCCTTTCTATCCTAGATTTGCATATTATCCGACATTTATGAAGTCGGGAACCACGCAAATTAAAAATTAATATTGATCGAGGTAAACATGTTAAGAATTTCGGAATGAATAATACCCTCCTAGATTTTCAAATCATGCGAGAGCCGAATCGAATAATTACTACAATTATTTTTAGGTTAATTGTAAAGCTGACTCGCGAAATGCCAAACTGCCGGACATTTAGTTTGTGATTGAAAAGTTTTGAATAATTGAAAACGGAATGGATACAATAGAGGAAACAAAAATTAAATATGAGAAAGTTGTAGAAGATGGTAAGTGTAGTTTTATCGCATCTGTGAACGAGTTGTAGAAGTTCTTGGAAAACAATTCTTTACATTGTTTGTACATGAAATTCATTTCGTTATTATTGAAACTTGAAATTTATTCGCGAAACAGAAAGGAGAGCTGGCTAGTTTCTCGACATGTCATGCATAATTGATATGAACACTGAGAATGTCAGTTTTCTTACGTGCCAGAAAAATGCCGTTTCTTGAGAAGAACTCTGATTACCGTACTGGTCGCAACGGTGTACCACTTTAGCTCACAGAGAAGTCGCAACTACCTCAAACTATAAAACTTTCTTACTAATTTCATAAACGATTTGTTAGTCTACCAGCATATTGTAATAACTTTTATGGCGCCAAGTTACGTTGTGCCTTAATTATTTAGTACTAGCAAACACGAACTTTTTTTCAACGCTTTTTAAGTCTCGAGATAATGCCCAGTACCAAATGCCTGTTTTGATCCAAAACGAGCCAAGAGACACAGGTTTGAAACAAGAGAAAAGTTATCTGTGTGTAGCATTTACGTCCTATATTGTAACTATTTTCATTTCTGCGTTCAGTGGCAGTTACCTGTATCCCTTTGTACTTGAAATTATCATCTTCTTTAAAATTACTGAACCCAGCAAATCTATCAGAGTCAGTCAACTGGCACAGGAACTTTCCGGGTTTGTTCTTTGTGATTCCAAAGTTGTAAGAGCGGCAACGCTCTTCATTGACGCATTGAAGCCTGCAGGCGCCTTCTGAATCCACATTCATTGCTTTGATCACGCTACTGTTTAACCGCCTTCCTTCTCTTGCTTTAGCGAAGTTAACGGCTTTAAAATCAGGCTCTGAGATACGGCTTATTCCATAAACAGTTGTGGCAAAAACAAGTAAAACCCACCCGGCCATTTTTCTAACTCAACCTGTGTAATTCAAAATTTTTATCAGAATCTCGCGGAGGGTGGCCCAATTAGTAAGCAACCCATTTGTTTGGAACAATTTTGTTCATCCCGTTCATAAAGCTGGTGTATTTTCCTTTGCATAAACTGCTTCACGGATTGATTCAAAATACGTCAGCTATCTCGTCATTTAGTTGCACCACGTACCATTTATACTTGAAAAAGCTCCTCTTCTGAATAAGTCCTGTCTCATACATACTTACCCAATTCCCGCTTCCTGGTAAACCAGGAAATAATACGAGTGTCTCCTCCATATAATTTACACTCTTGATGTAAGATTTGATGGTCGACAGTGTCGAAAGCTTTCTTCAGCTCTAGAAAAAGTATATCATTTAGTATGGCATTGTCAATATTTAGATACCAGTCGTTAGTGGCTTCACGTAGGGCTCTAAGGGTTAAATGCATTGGCATAAAATCATGTTGAGAATCTTCTAGGAGTGAATTTTCAATTACTGTAGTTCCTTACAAAGATGGTTGAAGGCAATCTTCACTATTGTTAAGGTGGCTCGATACAGTTTTTCAGGGTCAATACCTGCCAAGTTTGAGCATAAACTACGTCGCCAAAAACAAAGTTTTGGAAAAACTGCCACCACAGTTGTATTAGATAAAGATGAAAATTTGTTCTGATCAGGGTTGCAACGGCATCGGAGCTGTCATAGCAACGAAATAACGCTATTACCTACTTTACTTGCAGCAGTATATGTCGGCACTGGGAACTGTTCTTCGAAAATCATTCACGGGAGCTTTTTCCTCCAATAGCAGCCTCGATGTTCGTGAAGTTTAAGCGAAATCTGTAAGAGCGTTATCGAGATATTTTGGGATAAAGTTTTTATTGTTAGAAACACAGTAGAAAATGGACAATATTGTTGTTTGGCCGTTATCTGTAGAAAATGAAGCGCTTTCGACATGAAATTTCACCTCATAGTAGTTTCAATCTTTTTAAAAGCCTGTGTGAAAGATCATGGGAAATAGCTCCAGCTGATTGCTAGAGAGAAGGGTTTGATTAGTATGTATCGAAGCGCTCTTGTTAGCGGTTTTGTGAACATTTTGGTCTACTTTAACAAATTAGCGAATAATTTTTAAACCGCTAGATAGATTGTTTTAAAAATTTAAAATTCTTGAGATTAACCTTCCTTTTATTTGACCTTTTAGTTTGAAGACTATTGATATATTGTAAGGCATCATGCTTCCGAAGTAAAGGCTTTGTGCATTACAGCTCACTGCTACACCCGCAGTTCAGATACAGATGCCACTTATGTGGCTGTGATCGATTACGAGTCTACTTGACTCTACAAAAACAAAGTTTTGGAAAAACTGCCACCACAGTTGTATTAGATAAAGATGAAAATTTGTTCTGATCAGGGTTGCAACGGCATCGGAAGTAAAGGCTTTGTGCATTACAGCTCACTGCTACACCCGCAGTTCAGATACAGATGCCACTTATGTGGCTGTGATCGATTACGAGTCTACTTGACTCTACAAAAACAAAGTTTTGGAAAAACTGCCACCACTTGACTCTACAAATTAATAAAATGGTTTGAATATAAGAGAGAAGGTATCTAGTCATCGCTAAAAGGTTGGAGACAAAGAGTCAGAAGGAAAGGCGCATGGACATTTTGGTATTGCGTATTCTCCTCTCTATGATTTCCCAAAAGCAGTCGAGTTCTATCAGAAGAAGGTCAGTATCGCAAAAGAGATTAATAATAAAAAATCAGAGAAAGTGGAATACATCAACCTTGGCGGTGCGTACTGTGACGACCTCGGTGATTTCAGAAAAGCAATCGAGTTCTTTCAGCAAGGTCTAGCTATAGCTAAAGAGGTCGGAGACAAAGAGACTGAAATAATGGCGTATTGGAACCTTGGTATTGCGTATTCTTCTCTTTATGATTTCTCAAAAGCAATCGAGTTCTATCAGAAGAATGTCAGTATCGCTAAAGAGGTTGAAGATAAAAAATCAGAAGAAGAGGGATACATTAACCTTGCCTGGGTGTATTCCTCCCGCGGTGATTTCAGAAAAGTAGTCTAGTTCCATCAGCAGGGTCTAGCTATCGCTAAAGAGGTCGGAGACGAAGAGACAGAAAGGATGGCGTATTGCAACCTTGGTATTGGGTATTCATCTCTCTATGATTTCCCAAAAACAATCGAGCTCTATCAGAAGAATGTCAGTATCGCAAAAGAGATTAATAATAAAAAATCAGAAAAAGTGGAATACATCAACCTTGGCGGTGTGTACTGTGACGACCTCGGTGATTTCAGAAGAGCAATCGAGTTCTTTCAGCAAGGACTAGCTATCGCTAAAGAGGTCGGAGACAAAGAGTCAGAAGGAAGGGCGTATGGCAACCTTGGTATTGCGTATAATTATCTCTATGATGTCTCAAAAGCAGTCGATTTCCATCAGAAGAAAGTTAGTATCGCAAGACTGATTGGAGATAGATTATCAGAGGGTGAAGAGTATCTCAGCTTGGGGAACTGTATTGAAATCTCGGCGATTACAAAAAAGCAATCGAGCGTTTGCAGAAAAGTCTGAGCATTACGAAAAATTCCGGAGGCAGAGCTGCAGAAGGATACGCATATATAAGCCTTAGTAGGGTGTATAAAAATCTCTGTCTCTTGGAAAAGGCAGCGGAGTTTTCTCAAAAAGGGCTTAACATCAGTAAAGAGATCAAACTCAAAAAGTTAGAAGGACATGCATATGCGAACTTTGGTCATTTGTATCGCCATCTCGGTGACCTCAACGCATCATTCGAGTTCTGGGACAAGGCTCTTGTATTCGCAAAAGAGACTGGGAACAAAGCGTTGGAAGGACTTATGTACAGAAATTTGGGCCTTACTTTTCGGGATTTCAGCAACTTCGAGAAGGCAATCGAATTCCCTTAGCAAGCTCTGAGCATAGCTAAAGAGATCGAAAACAAACTCTTACATGAATCTGCGAATGAGGCTCTAGGTTCGGTGTTTGCTTCTCTCGGTAACTCCTCTAAAGCAGAGGAGCATTTTAAATCCAGCATAAAAGTGTTTGAAGAAATAAGGGATCTCCAAAAAAAAATGAATGGAAAATCAGTTTTCACGAAAGATATGAAATTTATTCTTCTTTATGGTGTCCTCTTGTAGCAAAAGGCAAGATCGCCGAGGCACTTTTTACAGTTGAACGTGGACGAGCACGAGCTCTCAGGGACCTTATGGAATCAAACTATGGAGTGAAATCGGCCCCGTCATCTTCGGAAGACCGAATAGAAAGAATGTCTCGTATTTCAGGCCATAATTCATCATCAACGATATTTCTGGCGGAACACTACGAGACGTTGAATTTCTGGGTACTACTGAAGGAACAGCAGTATCAGTTTGTGCGAAAAAAACACAATCAGACCTTGACCAGCTTGAAGAACGAAACATACAAAAACAAATTAGCGTGAGAGGTTTCAGATGCGAGGAACACTTCTCGGACGATCCTTTAGATAAAGAGAAGAAAGGCTTGCCTGATAGGGCTAGTACAGAAGAGAAAGAATCAACGTCATCGCAAGAAGATTTAAAAGCATTTCTGACGTAGTGATCGCTCCGATTTCACACTTGATAAGAGGTGACGAGCTTATCATTGTCCCCGATGGTCCATCTTTTTTGATTCCTTGTGCTGCCCTGGTAGACCAACATTCCAGGTTTTTCTCTGAAACGCTGAGAATTCGCATTTTAATTTTAACATTTTAATGCTTTTGGCAGAGTGTCCGGAAAAGTATCACAGTACATCTGGTGCACTGCTTGTTGGCAATCCGTGGGTGGAAACTGTGCGCCTTATACAATTAAAGGCCGCAGACCGTTTTCGCAGCTCCCTGGTGCCGAGGAAGAGATAAAAATGATTGGACAGATAGTTAACACTGAGCCCCTCACTGGAAAGAAGGCCACAAAAGATCAAGTGTTAAGCAGGCTCAACTCAGTGTCCTTAGTCCACATCGCAGCTCATGGTCGTGAAGAAACCGGTGAAATTATCTTGTCTCCTAATCTTCGTGGTTCCGATGGGCCCAAAGAGGAAGACTTTCTTTTGACGAGGGCAGATGTATTAAACGCCAAATTGCGCGCCAAGCTTGTTGTGCTGAGCTGCTGTAACAGTGGGAGAGGGGAGATCAAATCAGAGGGCGTGGTTGGAATTGCACGTGCCTTTCTGGGAGCCGGTGCGCGTTGTGTTATTGTTTCACTGTGGGCAATTGACGACAAGGCCACTCCGGCGTTTATGAAAGTCTTTTACGAACATTTAGCGGCAGGGCAAAGCGCAAGTACGTCCCTCCACCAAGCCATGAAATGGATGCGGAAGTCTAAACTTCTCAAGGCTGTGAAGCAGTGGGCGCCATTTATGCTGATTGGCGATGACGTGACATTGACTCTGGGCCAACAAAGGTGAGTTTCTTGCTCCAGGGTAATGCAAAATAATGATCACGTGTTAATGTTCTAGTCGAGGTAAAAGAAAAGCAAGTCTGCTAATGAAACTGAGACAAAGAACCCATAGTCATTCCACATTCAGGGGAGAAAACGAGAATCACGCTGTACAAAGTAAATGTAATAATCACTAACAAAGGAACTACTGCTCTTGCAGTTTTCATAGACGTGCCAAAATCCAAAAAGGACGATATACAGTGGTATACAACCACACGACTAAAATGAAGGGAATCAAACGGAAATCAGCCTTTAAGCGAATGTATACTTCTTATGGATAACTCCCGTGCACAAGCTTCTAAGAAATTTGTGTTGCGTAGCTGCGTTCAGTGTTAGCTGTGAAATCAGTGAAAATTATCGTATTTATTAACTGAATTGATATGGTGACTCCACCGTGGTCAGGACCTATTCTAAACCTAACGCATTTCTTCCGAGTGAATCAAGGAAGAATAGGTTCTATGCGGTTGAAAAATGTTTAGTGGCGAAGACACAATACTGCTGACAGTAATTCAAGTCTCCTTCTTTATATTTTTCAGTGACGCTTCAGCCACAATGACGGATAATTAAACATTGACAAGATGTTGCCGTCTGCAACAATATGCTCGTTCATGACGGCTTTAATATGTAGTTGATGAAAATTTTATTTCTAATTGTCAAAGCTTGTGCATATTTGTTTATATATAGTATTACGGTAAAGGTGATGTTACACGAAATGCTTTGTTAACGACAATTTCTAGGACAATAATGATGTAAAAAGTCGAAACAAGGTCGCAAAAATGTTGCAACGCTTCGTTCCGCTGAAACTCGTCGTTACCAATACCCTCTTCAACGGCATCGCCTCAAGTTGTTCGGAAACAAATTTTATATTTCTTTTAAATTAACAATAATAATGCAGCCCGAAGTGCTCAGAAAGGAACTGCTCATCTGTGTAGAGATGCATCTAACTAAGGCTATTTTCACACCATATCGGGTAGCTCTTGCGCAGGCGCGAAAATCATACCGGATAGGGCCTCTGTTCACACATAAGAAACGGTGAAACGGCGCAATTACTGGAACGGAGCACTGATCTTGAAAGTGGAACGTCACATATGAGATAGATTCAGTGTCATACTTTGGTGCAGTGTGAACACTGAGGTGTTCGGACTGTCACGGGAGGATCACGGGAGTGAATAAGTGGGAGCTAGGACAGGAGTCCACTGAGACGGAAAAAAATATTCGAGAGATAGGACTGGGATTTAGTTCACCAAGCCCTCTCGGTCAACAGCTTTGGTACGATATTCGATGTGTGTGAACGAGTTGTTCAAGTTCCGTACTCGCGTTGCTGATCATTCTATACGAGATTATCGATATCTTATCCTGTTTAGTGTGAACAGAGGCAGAACCCCTATATAACGACGTCCTCGGTATGACGAACGATTTTCTTCAACTCTGCCAAAGGTACAATAAAATGTATGGAACAAAACCTCGATTTAACGCAGTCCTCGTCATAACGAACACAATGATACAGAAACGAAACGTAAAATATAACATATCAACATGTGACCGAAAGATTGCTAAAGATGAATGCGAAACAGACCAGTGAGGATAAAATTTATGTGTACAGTAGTTGTCAGCCTGTTCTTGTGTTTCTAGTGCCGTAGCTATGATGTACAGCTCTGAACTGAGACAATAGCTTCGTATACAAAATCTTTTATTACATAAATTGTTCAGATCCTGAAATGCTGGGCGTTGGAAATTAATCATTAACTATACCACGATATAGCCAACATTTTGTTTGTTTTTTAAAAAAATTCGTTAAATCCGGGTTTTCCATATAACGAACCCTCGATATAACGAAAAACTTTCCCCAGTCCCTTGGCACTTTGTTAAACCGAGGTTCCACTGCAGTTTCAGTACAATACAATATGGTATATTTTTTTATTCTCCCAATTGGGTTTTTGAGAATTGATTTACAGGACTCATTAGGCTAAGTAATGTACGAAATAACTACAAATTACACGTATAAAAGACAAACTTAAGTTACAATTGAATATGAATGCTGAAACTACGATTATGAAAATTAAAAGGCTAATAAACAGTTATTTAAAGAAGATCAACAAACTACGGGTAAATGCTCTATGTCCGCACTCTAATATTCATCTTCGCGCGTAATATTCCTAAAACTTTATTAGGATAACACAAATAAGAGGTAAGCCTATTTTATGCCAATAGGCTACGTTCGAGATCTTAAAATTCTATCATGAATCCGAGGAAGGCGGGATGGGGCTTTTGGCTATCTAGCCTGTCCTGCCAAGCCTGCACTGACTGAAAAGGGAGTTCTCACAATCTATTGGAAATTGGAGATACTCATACTTTTTGCATACATCCTTCATTTATCGCAAGGCAAAAGATCAATTCGCTTGCAAAAATCACGTGATCTGCAATGGGCACTTGTAAACATACATTCTAACAGGTGTCACATGATAAAACCAATCGTATTCGAATTGTCACTTTATCAATTAAAAATTTCAGGTTCAGAATTAACTGTAAGTGTGATGTCAAAATGGCCTGCGAGTGGGAAAGAAAAAGGGAATCCTGTTTTCGATTGTCTACCCAAACGAGCATTTAGGGCCTATTTTGCCACTCGAGACTGCTCCGCTTTGTTCCATAGCAAAATAGTTTGTTTTGGCCATATTATGACCAGGTTTGTTCAGTGACGACGGCTAAAATTTTGGGATCCTTCCTCTTCTACTACATTTTTTTGCGCTGTTCCTGGGAAACTCGTCTTTGTCTTGGCTAATATAAAAAGGAAAAAACGAACCTGGCCAATTTTAGCCATCTTGACCTTACGTTTCGTCAATAAGTTAAAGGCAAAAATTGTAAGAGCCGGTTAAATCTACTGAGTACAAATGCGCCTTGTTATTTTTGGCAAATACTTTTGGGACTGTTATTGGGACAGGGAAAAAAATATTGTCCAATTGCTGTCCAGCGCGGTAACGATCCCACAAGTAATTGCTAGACACATTTCGGCTCCAGTTACTTTCTCCTTTCTAAAAAATAAGTGTTGAATACAAGATAAACTGCCAGAATTAAGGCCATCCATCCATAAACGAGTACGTCGTGTGTGACCAGGTTGTAGTCTGAAGCCGTAACTATACTAAAAGTGTCATATAGCATGCACTCTTCATAAGATTAGGTAGCAAATGGTTTCAAATGTGTACCATTGCAACTTAAATGATGCGACGCAAATCATCATAATGCCGTAATAGGATTTTTGCATGACTGTGATCATGTGATCAACTTTCGGTAAACACGAAAACAGTTCACTTTTGAAACATTTTGTTAGCACAAGCTGAAGGACCATATTAAAATCAGGAAACCTGAGAATTTTCAGCCCTATATCTAAAAAGTAGCGATTGCAACGGCCGCAGAAAGTTAGAAACATTTGTATTAGCCTACGAGCAGGCTCTCCTATTTGGGCAAGCGAAGCGAGCCTCGCGTGAACGCGCGAGCTCTGCCCCTCGCGGCTTCGCCGCTCGCTCGCGCGTTCTCGGGAGACTCGTTTCACTCGCCCAAATAGGAGAGCTTGCTCGCAAGCTACATTTGTATGAGAAAAACAACTTTTGCCACCCAGTCACGCTTACATGGTTTTCCATACAAATCCTTGTAAATTCTACTATTTTTAAACTGTCGTTAAATCTTTCCCTTACGCATTTAAGGGCACAAATTACCTGTTATGAATTAAAAGGAGATTTGAGCCTTAAAATGCTTAAGGAAATATTTCATGACAGTTTTGAAAATTTCGAAATTACAAGGAGTTGTATGGAAAACCATGCGACGCTGACTGGATGGCAAAAGTTGTTTTTCTCATACAAATGCCTCCAACTTTCGGGGGCCGTTGCAACCACTACTTTTGAGATATAAGGCTGAAAATTCTCCGGTTACCTAATTTTAGTATGCTCTTTCAGCTTGTGCTAACAAAATTTTTTAAAAGTGACCTATTTTCGTGTTTACCGAAAGTTGATCACGTGATCAAGTCACGCAAAGAGCCTATACCATTGCCTTTTATGGTTTAGGTTTTAATTTCATCTCACTGCGTTTCAACGAATAATAATGTCCTCTAAACGTGACCCATCTTACTCCGTCGTTAGGGTCCCTGGTGTTATAAGATCCCCGACGATAGAAACCATTTAGATTGGCCAAAGTGCAGGAATGATACCACCATGCTCCTTTCTTTGAAACAGCGCAATTGGCAGAGGTCCGATCATTGTCGACATCTTTGGTTGAAAACTGTAAGTTACTGCAGGAAAAGGTCAGAGTTTGATAATGGCACAAATTTTACAAAGAGATTTGTCTGTCAGGAGGTTATTTATTTACCGAGTTAGGATTTCGAGATGGATTTCGAGGTGGATTTCAAGGTGAATTTGGAGTTGGAATTTTCGAGTCACCCCATGTAAGGGACGGTCTTGGATTTTGGATTCCACGCTGTGGATTTCCAGATTCCAGTACTGGATTCTTCATTTTTTAAAAAAATTGGAACTTGGATTTCGGATTCCAATTGTTGGTGGGATTCCGAATTCATTGAGCTAGATTCCGGATTCCAAAGACCAGGATTCCGTATTCCACAAGCGAATTTGTTCCCGATTCCGGATTCTTCAAGCAAAACTTTCCATCCTAACATTCGCGCAATACGCATCATGCTTCCGAAGTGAAGGCTTTGTGCATTACAGCTCACTGCTGCACCCTTCAGTTCAGATACAGATGCTACTTATGTGGCCGTGGTCGCTTAAGAGTATACGAGACTTAACCAACTAATAGATGATTTGAATAAGAGGGAGAAGGTATCTAAGGTGGTCGGCGCTGGCGATCACTTATCGTAAGGGTAAAAAGAATCGTAACAGCGGTCAGGAGTGAGCAACTTCCATGCGATTGTGTCACGGCGTTTTCACGGACCAGTTAATTTTTAGAACGGTTTTAGCGCCCAATTTTGACTATCTTTTAAATTCCACAAACCGGTCAGCAAAACCTACAGACCTAACGAATGCTCTCATAGACGTGGTCGAGATTCTATTTTCGCGGGAAAAAGTGCCCTAAAATGTGTCTAAAAATAAACTGGTCCGTAAAAACGCCGTGACATAGGCCTCGTATGGGAGTTGCTCACTCCGGGTTATGGGCTCTTGCAGCAGTGTAAGATGGGCTTAAAAAGGAAATTATATTACTGAAAGATTGTTGATTTGATACCGTAAACTGCCGCTTATCCCTGGGCTTATACATCTTCGTCAGGGGTTTAAGAAGGGCGTATAAACGGAGGGGCTTATATCCGAGCTGTTTTATACCCGAAATAGAAACAGCGCCTTGAAACAAGATATAGCAGTCCTAATACGTTTTGCATTTACTCTTTTTTTTAATTAACCTTTAAAATGTCATAATAAATCGAATTCTAAAGATTCGTGAGGGGCTTATATCCGGAGGCTTGTAATCGGATGTATTCTTTGGTTTACGGGTCTATAGATGGGTTTATAACTGGAGGTGGCTTGTAAGTGGGGGAGCCTGTTATAAGCACGGTATTGGCCTTTTTTTCTGTCGCTACAAATTAATTACCAGCGAAATACTTGCTTACCTTAGGGTCTGCCCTCCGTAATTTACCATCGAGTCACCAGCAGTACCATTGTACCCTCCAATCGTAATCCTGTATTTATCTGCTTCGTCAGCTACCTGAAATTTTGTATACTCAGCGTATGTTATGCTGCCATCAAAGTCCTCCAGGTCAACTCTTAGCATGACGTCACCAGAGGCTGTCAAACGATGTAGATTGTCGTTTCCAAGCCAGAACTCACTGTTTAGATCTCCAAATCCATTTTTGTATGATTCCCAAGCCCGATAAAAATCTACCGAGCCATCTAAACGTCTCTGAAAGACGGTCCAACCTCCACCGTCCGTAGTCATGTCACACAGCACTTGTATTGGACTGCCACCATCTGGGATGATGTAGTTGACTCCACTTGATGTGACACCACTTTGACCAAGTTTAGAGCAGTCTTTTATTAACTCTGAAATGGGTAATTAACTGATAAATGATCTTAAGTGTAACTTTTGACTGACTATCCATAGAGTCATTTAGTTTAAAGCCTCTTCCCATCCTAGGGGGGATAGGAGAAGATCCTTAGAAGTGCAACTTGGGTGTTTATGAAACGTTTGCAGCTTACCGCATGGTCTTCCTCCGTAACCTTTGTCACATTTGCATGTAAAGCTGTCCTTGGAATAGTCGGGGATGCAGATTCCTTTGTCACCGCAAGGATCTACGCTGCTGGCTTCGCAGACGCTCTGTTCTCAACATAAACAAACACAGCAACAACATCAATTTAGGGTTTCATGAATAAAGAGGCACGCGAACATGTTGTGCTCACGCGCCTAATGATTCTCCATTTCCCTTCAAATACCAATCTCGTACCAATCTCGTACCCCCTAGTGCCTAGAGCAGGCTAAGAAGACTTCTGAGACTTCCTGCTTAATATTCAATAATTAAGAAAAAGAGATACAAAAAAATATTGTAAATGCGAAATGATTTTCCACAAATAACAAAAGGAAAAGGGTTGCGAATTCCGCATTCCGCATTCCGGATTCCGGATTCTGGATTCCAGATTCCATCCCTTCCACAAACTCTCCAAAAACATGGCGGACAGTAAATAAGCTCACGTTCACCGCCTTCTCTCCCTTCTTCGTTTGGTTAAAACCATAGCCACATGGAAAACAGTGATTAAAAGTATGCAGTCTTTAGGAATGGACAAGTTTCGAGTGGCATTTACCCGATTTCTCGCTTTCTATTCTGACAATCCTTCTGGACTTAACGATGGCGAAACACCGGCGAAATGGCAAAGTAAGGCAAGTTTAATTCGCCACTCACCCCTCGACCGAACCTGAATGGCCGCCAAAACGTTTAACACGATTCAGTAGCTGAAGGATTGATCTACACAATGATATGCAGAAGAGTCTGTAAGTGTGAGCCACTTTTGAGATTTAATCTACTGAATTTGGCTAAAATCGTATGTTTCGCTAAGTGTGTCAAAGGGGCTAAGTGTGTTTCCTCAGATTTTCTAAACGAAAAGATGTTGCTGATTCTGACCTGTATTATTTTTAAGATAAAGGCTCAATTAAAATAACTAGCAAATTGGAAGCTTTGGGTCGCACTCTTTTATCCGGAGCAATCGGTTGAATTTTGACAAAATTTGCATATTTCACAAGCATCTCAGGTCCTCATGTGGCGCCGAAAGAAAATTCGTTAAAAAAAATTTATAGAAGCGAATTTCTCCAATCTGGTTTCATATTTGTTATACACTTATTAAAAGAAGTCTACAGAAAAATTATGAGCGAAATCCATTTTGTGGGCAAAACTCGATATGAGGATCTTACAGAGACTGGCTCTTAACTTTTCCTCTAGTGAACAACATCATTTTGAAAGTAGGAACAAATGTTCTCGACGCATTGTTTTCAACTTTGAGTCTCGTGCTGGGCTGTCTAAGGCACCTTTAGATACGCAGGTATAATTGAAATTACTCGTAAAAGATACTTATGCTAGATTAAGATTGGTCAGTGGGTGTCCAAAATGTGATAAAATTCATCGGTTTGCATTGATTCACAGTTCGATTTTCTGGGAATGTTTGACGCGTTAACATAGAGCGCTTGGTTATTTAAATGGATAATGATTTGTTTAATAGTTAATGTGGCTCTGCCCTCCAGTTTCGGCTTAAGAATTACCATGACTGTGTTTCCATAATCTTACTTATTTTCCTTTGGGAGTTCTGCTTTTAGGTCTCTTTAATTGATGTCATTTAATGTTTTGTTAACAGTCTGGAGACGAAGGCCTTCAGGGATGTATACCCCTAAGCAGGTATAATAGTTCTACGAATAACTTAATTCTTTCACTTAATTCCAGCTTGTATCGCCTTCTCATGCTAATTTGTCTAAAAAAACGTGCTCTTGGATGCAATGCTTAATATTATGACAACTAACGGTTGCTACATGTATGTTGATTAAAAAAAACGGTATTTGTTTTTATTTTGGCTTTGATCTTGAAAACATCTTTAGGTGATCAAGGCATTTAAAGGATGGTTATTTCTTCATTGTGAAGAGAAAAAAAGCTTCAATTCGAGTGGTGAACGCCCTATTCAAAAATGTTTTGACTGAAATTCAGGTCTCAATGTGAAAACAAGGCTCTTCAGTTTGGACGAACAATCTTTCTTCCATCCCTCTGGATTAGCCGGATTATACTATCTTATCTTTAGCGTAAAATCCAAAAATTTAAAGAAAACTCTCTAAATCAAAAAGCGGAATCTTTGCCATCTTAATCACACTATTGATACTAAAAAGACAAAGAAAGTATTCCATTCGAGCAGTTTTGTTTTTCCGCAAAGAGCTTCCACTGCATGCACTCGCTGAAACAAGGACAGAAAATTTAACTTCGAGTGCTATAACGATCCTCGTTATAACGATGTTCACGGTATAACGATGGTTATTCTATGTCCTTGCAAAAGTCACAGTAAAATATATCGGACAGAACCCCGATATAACAATCTTCGATATAATACATGTAATGGCCTTTCTTTCTTTGGCGTGATATATTGTAATTGTTGTTGACAAAGGAGTCATATAAATTTTCCGGGTTGAGAGAAACTAACATGGTTGATTAAAAAAAAAATCATCAAAAATAGGGATTTTTCCCTGTATTCCCCTGTAGGTAAAATTGTCATGTTCTGTGAAATTACCAAAGCCAGAAAATCTGTCAGAATTACTCAGCTCACACGCGAAAGTCCCTGATTCGTTCTTCGTGTTCATAAAGTTGTAAGAAAGACAACGTTCATTCCTGACGCATTGAAGACTACACTCATCTTCTGACCTCACATCAACTTGCTTTATCACGCTTCCGTTCAATTTTCGTCTTTCTTTTGCTTGGGCAAAGTTAACAGCTTGAAAACCGGGCGCTGAAATACGGCTTGTGCAGTATACAGTGGTCACAGAAAAAGCGATTGGCAGTAGCAGAAGCATTTTTGATTGGCCGGCTTCAAAGCATTTCGGATATTAAAAAAATGTCAAAGGGCCGGTTTCTGGATAGTTCACTTTAAGTTGTAGCACCTTAGACTAAAGTATTTATGATCCAGGTGTAATTTGGATTAACGTCCACCCAATGAACGCTGACAGACGCCCGCCGATTCGCAGTTGATAGTGTTTGGAGCCAAAAATTACCGTTAACTTCCGTGTGCCCTGGGCTAAAACAACGTCGTAAGGGGTTTTAGGATGTTTTATAAAGGAGGGAGTTGGTGATAAGGCTTAGATATATCCGAGGAGGCTTTTAACCGATTTAACAAAAGCCTTTCAAAAGAAGCTAAATAGCGGTGTTGATCAGAAATACCTTTCGAATGTACTCGCTTTTTTAAAGCTTCAAAACGTCATAAAAAGTCGATTGCATTTCAATACTGCTACTCTAGAAAGTGGCTGATATCTGGAAGGGGGGCGCCTATAAGGTGTTTTTTTGGTGTACAAGTAGATGGGCTTATAACTGAGAGGGCCAATAAGCGAGAGGAGAAGGAAAAACTTCTAAGCGGAAGTTAGCAGTATCACCGAATACATGTAATTTTAATCATGACTTTTGACAAGTTAGGCATCTCGATCAAAGTCGTTTCCTAGTCAAATTTCTAGCCGGAAGAGGTCGAAACACAGGCTTGCCGTTTTTTAATAAAAATAGCCCTTGATTTGTAAGTTAGAGACCGGAATTACTATACACTCCAAGTTATTAGCTCCGGCTCATAAAAGGTTAAGTGTGTATCGGTGGCTGTTACTGTTACCAGAGCAACAGTTAAAGGTCAAGATCTTCCAAAAATTAACTCTGAAGCCACCCAGCTTGTTTTAGTCAACAAGCAATGAAAATTGCTTGGCTTTCTAAATCCTACAATTATGGATCGAGAAGTTAAAGGCTCTTTTCGCTGCCAAAACGTTGTTGATGACTAGACTAGTCAGACACTTGAAAGGAATCGTAATATTATATATGTTTGTTAGCGCGTTAACTTTGCCTGACCTTAGTGTTCAAGCGCAGATAACCGCACACTGTTTAGTTGTAGCAGAAAATTAAAAACGCCGAGCAGGTGATCTGAAGGCTCAAGCTGTGAGACACCTAATCTGTAGCACGCGAAACAGGCGCTATTGACTCGAAATCACGTCCGCTTCGAGCGTGCCTAAAAAAACGCTAAAAAGTAAGGCCCCTAATCTGCAGACTATAATTTGCAAAATGCGGTTGCCTTATTGCGACGGCAGAGGTATTTCTGTCGCCTCTTCTTTCTGATTCCGATAAGAAAGCAGATCAAATGATAAATTACATGCATTTAATAATGTATTTCACTTTCCAGGAGCTTATTTCCGTGACTTCTCCCAACATATACTGCATGCCTGCTCTTGAACAATCTACCACCTCATATTTGGAAGGCCTTTGATTGCAAAAATTTCCTTGCCAACCTGAAAAAACGTAACCTGCTGGACCAAAACGAGTGTCCCTGTAGACTCTGCTCTAGTTAGTTTTCCTAGTTGTTGAATAATTAGACTAGGAGTAATCGGAGCTTAGAAGAGTGCGTTCGAAATGTTTGTAAGGCGTAGAGGTAGAAGTTGAGGAGGAAGGTTGGATGGTTATTGCGATAGATTAAGCCCGGTTTCCATATGATCGCTACGATCGCTGAGAAAAAAAAGTTCAGCAATCATATGGAAACCACTCTCCAGCGATCGCAGCGACAACGATCGCTGGATAGAACTTCTTATATCTCAGCGATTGTTGTCGCTGCGATCGCTGGAGAGTGGTTTCATATGATCGCTATAATCGCTGAAGTTTTTATTTTCTTAGCGATCCAGCGATCACAGCGATGGTAGAGATCATATGGAGACCGGGCTTTTAATTTGATCATGGCATATTTTAAACGTAAGGATTGCTTACAGCGAAACCTCTATTTAAACTGCGTATCATTATGAAATAGCCTTGAAGGCTAGTGATATCGAATGGTCCGTCTCAACAAGTGCAGTTGTTTGGTCGAGTGTGTTGATTTCAGTGACTTGAAATGAGCTACTGTGGGCTGTTTATAAGTGTTTCCGAATAAATAACATAAACTTAAAATGTCCGGTGCCGAAAATATCACAAGTCATGATGAAACGGCGCCGCCGCGCTTCACACTTCGGTAGAAATACTTTGTGGGACAACGGCCTGCGAGCTAGACAACTCTGTAGATTTACTTTGTGGCACAACGGCCTCCGGCTACACAACTCAGTAGATTTACTTTGTGTCACAGCAAACTCTTGAAATATGTACGCTTTACGAAGATTCAAACCATTTAGATTGGCCCAACTGCAGGAATGGTACCACCATGCTGCACTCTTTGAAACAGCGCAATTGTCAGGGTCATACAGATCATTGTCGACATCTTTGGCTGAAAACTGCAAGTTACTGCAGGAAAAGGTCAGAGTTTGATAATGGCACAAATTTTACAAAGAGATTTGTTTGTCAGGAGGTTACCTATTTACCAAGTTAGGATTTCGAGATGGATTTCGAGGTGGATTTCAAGGTGGATTTGGAGTTCAAATTTTCGAGTCACCCCATGAAAGGGAACCTAAGACGATCTTGGATTCTGGATTCCACGCTGTGGATTTCCAGATTCCAGTACTGGATTCCCCTCATTTTTCTAACAAACTGGAACTTGGATTTCGGATTCCAATTGTTTGTGGGATTCCGGATTCCTTGAGCTGGACTCCGGATTCTAAAACCCAGAACTCCATATTCCACAAGTGAAATTCTACTAATTCCGGATTCTTCAAACAAAACTTTCCATCCTTACATTCGAGTAATACGCATCATGCTTCCGAAGTAAAGGCTTTGTGCATTACAGCTCACTGCTACACCTGCAGTTCAGATACAGATGCTACTTATGTGGCTGTGGTCGCTTATGTGTTCGAGTCGTTTTAGAGATATACAAAAAAGTGCTAAAAGTCCAAATCTTGAATAAAGTTGCACTTAGACAGGTGTTGAGAAAAGGGTTAGTTTTTAAGTGATCGCAAGAACGAAAATACACCAAAATTTCCGAGCATCGAAATATGATATTAAGCAGCATTCTGACGCTACTTAAGAATTTAATTTAATTTGTGTCATTTATAACGTTTTATTAAATAATTTATCACGGCTATTGACAAGTTAAGGTCTGAACTATATTTTCGTTTTAATCGAATTCAAACATTCAGAATTTTTTACTTCTCACGGAGGTTATTTGCTAATTACGAAACTTTAAGTTCCTAGTTTTGGATTTTCAGTAGCTGGTCTAGATCGCTCAAAACTCGGCTTTATCAATTTCAAAGTTTTTTGTTTATTGTTGTCATAGTAACATCGATTTTACTTAAACCTACATTTTGCCAAATTTCAATCTATAGTTAATCATTGGTGCAACTTTTATAGTTATCAGACAAGGATAAAATCGCTTTTAAAGCGATTGAAAAATATCGGTATGGCTTTTGAAAAACTATATCGAAACACCTTAACTAGGTATTTCTCTTTTGATGGTTAATTACCTCCATTCCTCTGTACTTGAAATTGTCATCTTTTGTAAAGTTACCAAAACCAACAAATCTATCGGAACCATTTAACTGACACAGGAAATTCCGAGCTTTATTCTTCTTGAGTCCAAAGTTGTAAGAGCGGCATTGCTTGTCATTGACACATTGAAGCCTACACGCACCCTCTGTATCAACTTGCATTTCTTTTATCACGCTTCCATTCAACTTTCGTCCTTCTTTCGCCTTAGCAAAGTTAACAGCTTGAAAACCAGGTTCTGAAATACGGCTTAGGCCCGATGCAGTTTCGGCAAAGACGAGTACAAGGCACAGTAACATTTTTTCACGGATCACTTTAACGGTATAACAGGTGTTTTAATATATAACTATTAAGTTTTCCTTTAAAGATGATCAGTTACACTGGTTCCCAGTATCTTTTCGTTGTGTTGTTTCCCTCTGAAGCCTGGTTTCTGGTTGCTACAAGAACGATATCGTCCTCTTATCTAAAGATCAATTAAATTTGACCGGCTTGTTTCTTCAGAGTCACCCAAATCTGGTAATCTACGTACCAGCTAGCCCGCGCCACAGACAAAACTTAACTCTGGTTAAGTCGGTCTACAAAACAGCGCCTAAATCCTTCTACTGGACCCCAACTGTGTACCGAGATTTGAATACTCATGACTCGTAATGATTGGCCTGTGAAAAAAGACGTCGTTAATTTGCCAATCAGTAGTAAAGGAAATCCCAAACGCACCTCCGGTAATTCGTTGAGTCCGTTGGGGGCCTACAACGAGAATATATCTCGGCGATGCTTCGCAGACGTCACTAAACAATGTTAAAGTACGTCTTCGACGCAGGCTACTTACCGGCTTAATCCAAACTTTCAGTGAACATAAGTAAGTTATTTTAAGACCCCTCTTATATACAGATAAGTTATCTCGCCCCTAAGTTTTGAAAAAGCAAGGAATGTTCATCTTCGCGCGTAATAATCCTAAAACTTTATTAGGTTAACACAAATAAGAGGTAACCCATTTTGTGCCAATGGCACACGTTCGATATATGAAAATTCTACCATGACTCCGAGGCTTTCTGGTGATTTTTCATTTTGGTTTGGTTTTCTTCGTGCTCAAGTTTTTTCTGGAAATTGCGAGACAACTGAGTCGTGAGAAATTTGCAATTTCCACCCTAAAGCCTTGGAGTCATGTTACTTAGAATTTGTATTAATACGTTGAACGTGGGCTATAGTGGCTGGCAAGGGAGGCAAACGGGGATTGAGCGGAGGGGGGGCAGGGAAGGGGAAGGGGTGGTGGGGGTTAGGTAATTAGCAAGTTCTGCCAAGCCTACACTGACTAAAAAGGGAGTTCTCACAGTCTTTTAGAAATTGAAGATAATCACTTGCATACATCCTTTATTTATTGCAAGGCAAAAGATCAATTCGCTTACAAACATCACGTGATCTGCAATGGGCTCTTGTAAACATACATTCTAACAGGTGTCACATGATGAAACCAATCGTATTCGAATTGTCACTTTATCAATTAAAAATTTCAGGTTCAGAATTAACTGTAAGTGGGCTGTCAGAATGGCCTGCGAGTGGGAAAGAAAAAGGGAATTAATCCTGTTTTCGGATTGTCTGGATTGTCTACTCGAGCGAGCATTTAGGGCCTATTTTGCCACTCGAGACTGCTACGCTTTGGTCCATAGCAAAATAGTTTGTTTTGGCCATAAAAAAATCTCGTGTTAGTGGAGTCAGAATTTTGTAATTTTGACCCAAGAGCCTCTGAGTCATGTTAGAATGTTTTTATTGCGGCTAGCAGGGGAGGCAAACGGGGTTGGCCCAGGGGGGTGGGGGGCTAGGTGGGGGAGGAAGGCGGGTGGGGGACTTTTGGCTATCTAGCTAGTCCTGCCAAGCCTACACTGACTAAAAAGGAAGTTGTCACAGTCTATTGCTTAATTGGAGATAATCATACTTTTTGCATACATCCTTCGTTAATCGCAAGGCAAAAGATCAAACATCACGTGATCTGCAATGGGCACTTGTAAACATACATTCTAACAGGTGTCACATGATAAAACCAATCGTATTGGAATTGTCACTTTATCAATTAAAAATTTCAGGTTCAGAATTAACCTGAAGTGGGCTGTCTAAATGTCCTGCGAGTGGGCAAGATAAAGGGAATCCTGTTTTCGATTGTCTACCCGAGCGAGAATTTAGGGCCTATTTTGCCACTTGAGACTGCTCCACTTTGTTCCATAGCAAAATAGTTTGTTTTGGCCATATTATGACCAGGTTTGTTCAGTCACGACGGCTAAAATTTTGGGATCCTTCCTCTTCTACTACATTTTTTTGCGCTGTTCCTGGGAAACTCGTCTTTGTCTTGGCTAATATAAAAGGGAAAAAACGAACCTGGCCAATTTTAGCCATCTTGACCTTACGTTTCGTCAATAAGTTAAAGGCAAAAATTGTAAGAGCCGGTTAAAACTACTGAGTACAAATGCGCCTTGTTATTTTTGGCAAAG